TGACAAAACTGGCCTTTCGTTAGCTGGGAATGAAGGAATGGCAAAGAAAATGGAAACTACTATGGTATATTGGGGTTATATAGGAATAATGGAAAAGAAAATGGAGACTACTATGGTATATTGGGTTTATATGGGGATAATGGAAAAGAAAATGGAAACTACTATAGTATATTGGTAGTTCTCCCTAAACCCGAAACCCGACCCTCTTCCACTGCCAGAGGAGACGCCTCTTCAGCGCGGACTGCAGACCCTCCAAGAAGATGAGCATCCTCCCCGCAGCACGCATTAGGGTGCAAGGTTTCTAGTAGGATAAGGCTAAGTGGGTGGAATTCCACATGTAAGGTGTCCCTCTTCTTGGGCCCTCATTACAAGGATTTGGCTATGCCTGGGTGTCAATTCAGCAGCCCCAGGTTTTGGGAAGCCCCCAGGTAGGGGCGTGAAGGGAAAAGATATTCAGATTGAAAGTCCCGAAGCACACATGCAACCTTAAAGGTGCTTAGAAGGCCATTGGGCTATTGAAAGGAGTTTACTTCTGAGGAGGCTGGGAGACAAGTTATCCCAAAGTCCCAACTAAGGGCGACATGCAACCAATGTCGGGGCCTAAAGAACTAGAAATATGGCGCTAGGGGAATGTATTTGCTGATAACAACGGGCAATGCGGTAGCTTGCACACGTAAGGAGACCCCAATAAAGACTCCAAAATCCTATAATCCTGACTATAGGGAACCCAAAGAATTGTCCCTTCTTTTGGGAAACTGCCATAATGCTAACTATTCAGACTTCTTTTCCATCTTTTTCAACTACAAGCGCCCAAGCTCCGAAGGCGGTTGGAGGATCCTCAGTCTCTCTTTAATTGAATAAGCGTGTGGGGCATAGTGACTGAGGGGTATAAAATAGATATCTATATATTTTAGGGTTTAGGGATTTAGGGTGTAGGGTTGAGTTCTATAGATATATAGGTAGATGTTATGCGTGTGATAATTGTTACAGTCTACCCCAAACCCCCCTTCGGTGGGTCCGAGGGCCCTGAAACTGAAAAGGAATTCAAAATCCTCAACCTAAATTTTGAACCCTAAACTTCAAAACATCCTATCCGGGAACATAACCCTAAACCCTCAACCCTAAGCTCTAAACCTAAGCCCTAAACCCCAAACCCCTAAACCCCAAACCCTCAACCTTAAGCCCTGAATCCCTAAACCCTACACCCTAGACCCCTAGGCCCTAAACCTTACACCTGAAAGTCCTGCCTCAGGGCCAGGTGTCCGGCTACAAACGCCACGCAGCCGAGCTGCGGAACGGAGACCTGCCGCACCTTAGAGGTGATGTGGGAAAGTCCTGGAGCAAAAAATTCCAGGTTCAGCATTTAGGGTTTAGGGCTTATAATTTCGGAATTTAGGGTCCAGGATTTGGGGTTCAGGGTTTAGGGTTCAGGGTTTAGGGTTCAAGTTTTTTTACAACATCGTTGACTCTTTTCGTGTCTAGCATGTAACCCGGGAACCCATATTAGCAGGGTGTACGGTTTAGTTGGGGTCTAGGATTGAGTGTTTAGGATTTGGGGTTTAGGGTTTGGGCTATTTGGATTTAGAAACAGGGTTTGGAGTCCATCAGTTAAGATTTAAGCAAGTGTAGTATTCTGCCTCTTATAAGGACACCCAGAGGGGGACTCTAGTTCTTGGAAACACCCATATAATATGTTCCCTGGCTCCCTACTATGACCCCAGTATCCCTATTGTGATGTAATTGTTTCCATTTCTTTTCCATTTTCCCTATATTACCCCCATACCTTAAACCCTAAACCCTACACCCCGCAAGGGGGGTTCTTCAAAACAGGGTTTGAGGCTTGAGAGCTTTCAGGCTCTGAATCAACGGGATTAGGGCTGGAGGCTTCTCAAAAAAGGGAGGCCCATAGGGACGCGAGGGATATGGTGATTCAACGGGGAGATTCTAGGGGTCTTCTGAGGCATTGTTTGAAAAAATCTGAGTTCGGGGGACCTTAGATACTGGAAGGCATTCTTCTTGTTATGCGGAGGGTGTCGATTAATATTTGGAAAGGGAGGGAACAGTGCGTCTTCTGATCCTGGAGAGCAGCACCAGGTGGCGAAATACAACATCACCGTGGCCAAACCAAGAAGTCCTAACCTAACACAGACACCGATGGAACCACACTCGGCCAAGGATGCATGCGCTCCCTGAATCCAATCCTACACCCTAAACCGCTCAAACCCGAACCCTGAGGCCTGAACTCCGAAACCCTACATCCTAAAAGGTCCAAGTCCGAGTCCTATGTTTAGGGTTTAGGGTTTAGGACCTATACAAACCCTACACAAATCCTAAAGCCTCTCTCCCCTGGGGCCCAGGCCACCTGCTCCTCCAAAGGCTTTACCTCAACACCCTCCGATTCTGAGGCCTGAGCGGGTGCTGGGCTGGGTTCAACAAGTATAGGGTTTAGGAAAACCCTGCACCCTAAACCCTAAACCCTAAACCCTAGGGTTTAGGGCTTGTTTAGGGTTTAGGGCTCAGGGATGAGGGGTTAGGCTCTAGAGTTTAAGGTTTGAGGTTATAGGGTTTAGGGTTTGCCTACTGAGGGTTGATAGGGAGTAAGAAGAGAATATACGACATAGGGATTACATACTATATAGGGATTATGTAGGGCTTATATGCCGTTTATGCCCTTTTTCCAACTAACAACGGTGTAATTGTTTGTTTTCAGGGCTTAAGGTTTTGGGGTTTGGGTGATGATTGATGAGCCTGACAGAGAGGAAGTAGATCATGGCCGCGTGCAGGTTGGGTCCCAATATCTGGATCTCCCCAGGAGCAGCGTTCGCTCTCCCCAGCCCCCCAAAAAATGGCAATACCCTAAACCCTACACCGCAGGATGACGTATGCAGGAAGAACCTTCACGAAATGTAGAGTCTTGTCATGGCTACGTACACTTCCGGCAGCCTATCAGCAATCAACCTTCTCAGTGCGCGACGGAATTTTGCGAGCCTGCCCATACGCTGCAGGGGCAATTATTCGTAATAATCATAATACTAAAGATATTAATAACACTAATAATCGTAATATTAATATTAGTAATAAGGGTTCAGCAGCAGTGGACAACTTCAACTTCAGTGCATGCTGCTCCCTCAGAGCCCTGCGCTGGACACTACTTGGGGTGGTTGCTTGGCTTTTGAGATGTGTATTTCCAAAACGTCGGTCCCACTTATATAACCAGGAAATACATAGGTATTCGAAAAAGGGACACCAAAATTCTGGGCACCCCATACGTTGCAGGGGATGCAGGATTGCCAGTCGGCACCGGGGCCTCCCAGCAGCCCGCAAAGCATCCTGTTCAGGATGTTCTCCCAGACCTTGCGTCGGGTGGGGGGGTGATGAGTTGGTGGGCCTGTACGGTTCTAGAGTGCAGTTGGAAGTTTGATTGTAGCGTAGTATACTTCCAGGAAGAGCCTGAAAAGGAATATGGGCAATTCTTGTAGGCCCTAAGTGCTTCGGGTCAACCTGATCTTCTTCAGCCCAGCCATTGAAGTGTTGGATATGCCTGTGAGAATGGCAAGCCCTACACCCTTTCATCCCTGAACCCATGCTAAACGGGCAACATCCCTACCTCAAGCCTCAGTTACTTAACCTGCCGTCCCCGAATATCATCTGGGATTATTAGGATAATGGAAAAGAAAACGGAAACTACGTGTATATAGCGGCTATGTGGTATATGTTGGGATGATGTAGCGAAAAATGGAAGATGAAATGGAAACTCCTTAATCCGCCAACGCGACCTGCACCCATGAAAAAACTAAGTCCTCGCAGGATAGAACGGATCGAGTGCCAACATTTCTGCTGCGGATCTGCCCGCTTAACTTGAAAAAAATCTACTCCCACGGCTTCCCCCAAACCTCAGAACCTCAATCCCTAGACCCGCGAACTTGAACTTAAAAGTCCTTCAAACCCCTCAAGCCCCTCAATGCCAAGCCCGAAGCATGTAGCCCAGCCTCTGGCTCCTTATGATTCAAATACTATCAAGGCCATTGGAGCTATAGTCTAAACTCCGAGCATCCCCCTTAAAAAGCCCTATAGCACTCCCCCACATAATCCCTTTTAAGGAGCTTGGACTGCAGTTCATTTGATATTCCTGGAAAAGATAGCTTCGTATCATTTATTGGGCTTAATATTAACAACTATTGAAAAGTACATCGAATTGCTAAGCCCTGAAGCCTAAAACTCTAAAAAGTAGCTTCCGTTTTCTTTTCCATTATCCCTCTAGAACCCGGATATAACCCCGCTAAATCCCAGACAGTAGCTTCCATTTTCTTTGCCCATTATTATCCCTATAGAATCCAGCGTTCAACAATGACCCTAACCCTAAACCCTAAACCTGATAAACCCTATAAACCCTATAAACACTAAACCCTATAAAATCCTGTAAACCCTATAAACCCTATAAACCCTATAAACCCTATAAACCCTAAACCCTATAAACCCTGAACCCTAAACCCTAAAACCCCTAAACCCTATAAACCCTAAACCCTAAACCCTAAACCCACGCCTTGTCCGGGGAGCGGTGTGCAGCGTCCAGGGCGGATTTGCCCAGGGACGCCAGCTCGAAGGATAGATCCATGCTGGCCTTGAAGGGGTTTAGGGGTTTGAAGGGTTTAGGGTTCAGGGTTTTAGGGGTTTAGGGTTTCAGGGTTTAGGGGTTTAGGATTTAGGGTGTGGAGTTTTAGGATTTAGGGTTTAGGGTTTCAGGGTTTAGGGTTCTAGGGTTTAAGGTTTTGGGGGTTGAGGGTCTAGGGTTAAGGGTTTGACTTACCGGTGCTTAAAGGGGAGTGGGGGAGTGAATATAGGGACTGCTATCGGGGTATATACGGGGATTATGTAGCGTAGCGTTTTGGGTTTAGGGGGGTTTGAAGGGGCTTCTAGGGGTCTACAGGGTTTTTAGGGGCTTCTGAAGGTTTATAAGTGTTTGTTGTGGTTTACGATTAGGGGATTGGGTGTTTGTGTTTGGGGTTGGTTTTGGGTGTTGTCTTGGTGGTGGCTCCACAACCATCATAAGGAACATTCTCAGGGTCTTCCAATACAACTTGACGGCAGCTTATGCCAAAGATCAGGTAGCAACGTTCGTCGAATGTCGCTTCGAAAGCAAGCTTCATGCGAGCTATAGTCTAAACTCCTAGTATCCCCTTGAACAAGCCCTGTAAGGCTCCCTGTATAGGCCCCCTTTCAGGAGTTTTCATCATGGCTTCATCTGACAATGTCTAAAGAGAGGCGCAACCCTGGAGAACCAAGATTTGGACACCCCAGAAACCAGACCTGATTTGAATCCACCTCCAGAGCAGGAAGGCTAATGGTAACAGGCATAGTACTAGCACTCTCAATCGTAATTGTACATATAGCAGTAACCGTGATAGTAATAGTAACAGCAATAGGAATGGCAATAGGAATAGGGATAGGAATAGCAATAGCATTAGTAATAGTGGCCTGCGCGGCGCTGAACCAATGCGCGGGGATCTCGCCGCTGACGAAGTGCTGAACTACAATGAGCACAGCCTGCTGGGAGATGTCGTGGAGACCGGCACAGACTTGCTGTGGGAGCGGGTTCTTGCCTGGGTGCATGCTGAAATACTATTAAAAAGGATCTTATCTAATCTATATTGGGCCCAGGTATACATAAAAATGTAAAAATGTTGTTCAACAAGAATCCAGTTGCTGGCAGCCTGGAAGCGCAGAAGCAGCTGGCATACCAATCTTAGGCCCTCCAGGCGATCCTCGGCTGTTCCAGGCTTCTGCTGTGTGATGAACTCCTTCAACTTGGGCAGCGCCGTGGATACCGAAGCGTGCCCCGCGGTGGATGGGACCAGGGCCGTGACGGCGCGGAGGGCGAAGGCCGACATCGAGGGCTCCGTCAGTGCTCCAATAAGCCTAGGCCATGGATCACCTCCTTTCTTTGCCTAGTTTAGCTCATATTCGTATAAACCGAGTAGAGACCCGCAAAACGTACTTTGACCAAGTTCCCAGTAGCGTGGGCATCACCTCCTTTGCGGATACGAGCTCCTTGTCCGCTGCCTGCTCAGGCTTAGGCTTGAGGATTTAGAGTTTAAGTTCAGAATTTAGACTTTAGGGTTTGGCTTGAGGTTTGTGGTGTAGGTCACCCTGGTTGGTAGTCTCTTTATCTGCTGTACGATTTCTAATGCTTGGATCTGCCGCCTGCTGGATGAGCTCCTGTACACTGGCGAGGTGCGTGTGGGTGAGGCTGCCGGTAGCGTGCCCGTCCTCTGGGACAAGGGGATTTCATGCGACTCTCAAGAAGGGGATTTCAAGAAAAGAGCAAGTGCGTACTAGAACTAATGACCCAAAGGAACGCATCAGAAAATCAACTGAGCAATCTCTAAAAAAACAGTAGAGGGACCCCCAAAATGGTACCCTAATTCCGTCTCCTAGCTGCCTGGTTATTGGACCCTAGGGCCTGGGCGTCCCGCTCACGAGCGCCAATGCCACAGTCAATCTTCAAGGTTTAGGGTTTAGAGTGGCCTCCCTCTGTGGAGGCAGGCTGATGCCCAGAATGCTTCCATTACAAGCAGCAATCAGATGAAGATGCCCTAAACCCTAAACCCTACCTCCCTTTTAAGGGTGGAACATCGTAAAACCCTAAAACCCTAAAACCCTAAAACCTTAAAACCCTAAAACCCTAAAACCCTAAAACCCTAAAACCCTGAAACCCTAAAGCCCTTAAACCTTTCAAAACCCAAAACCCTAAACAACGTCTCCTTGTAGATGTTCAGGATGGCCATTGCCGCGGAAGCCGCGTCGCGGCCCTCGAGATGCCTGAGTTGCGTCTAATTTGAGTAACCATGATATGGGTGGTTGTCAAAACTATGGTCCCTTTTTGGGTCCCTATTATAATACGGCACCTAATATTTGGGGTACCCAAAATGAGACCATAATTTTGACAACCACCCATATGGGAATATAGGGTTTAAGGTTCAGGGTTTGGGGTTTAGGGTTCAGAGTTTAGGGTACCATAGTACGGGTATGTAGCAAATAATAGGGCTTCCTTATTGTGATTTAATTTATACTACCCCTTAAGTAGATAGAATATGGGAAATATGGGGATCTTATTATAAAATACCCAAAGCCATATTCCATCTACTTTAGGGGGACTATAAGTTCCCCAAAAACCCAGATGCATGCGGAAAAAGGCGTCTACGGCCGCGTCCTTGATCGGAGCATGGCGGCTCCACACCAACCTAAGCATAGAGTTTAGGGTTTAAGGTTTAAGCTTGGGTTATTCCCCCTTACAGTAACAGTTACCACAAGGGGTAATAGGAAATATAATAGCCCCTTAACAAGGCCCCCTTCAAGGACAGTTACTGGGTGGGGGAATGACCCAAGTTTAAGCGTATAGGGTGTAGAGATTAGGGTGTAGGCTTGTAGGGTTTAGGGTTTAGGGACTTAACTGCCCCTACACCAAGTTGACTTGTTTTCTGGAAAGAAAGCAATCTTCAAAGGGCCCCTTATGGGAGTTCCATTCTAGTTCGGGGGCTGGTTGGGTGCCGGTCGTTGTTGAAACATTTTTTTGAACAAATCAGGCGTGTGGTGAGAAAACCTGTAAGTGCTCAAAGACAAACACGACTGAGCCTGTAAATCTCTGCTTTGATACTGCACATATCACAGAACCTATCAGAACCCTTGTAACTGGAACCCAAACCCGACATTCTACACCGCAGTAATGGCAAAGTCAGTGAAGCCCTAATGTTGTCCGTGTTGGGTTGCGACAGAGCACTCGCGACAAACGAACTTCACCCATTGCGCTCGAACCTTCTCTTCGATGCATTGCTACAGTAGATTCCTGCTTGTGAAAAGGCCCGGCCGAAATCCCAGAACCTAGCTACAGCTACACGTTCCGCACAAACAAACATGGCTATGTAATACCCCTCACTAAAAATTGCCAAGAGTTCTTATCGGAGGATATCGCAGATTAATCAAAGGAGCCGGTAACAGATGACTTTGGACTTTGGTAACCACGAAATCTTCACTGCCTGTATATGAAACCTATGACGTACCTCCTAAACCCAAAGCCCTAAATCGTGTAAAGCCCGCAAATGCCATACCCAACAAAATGGTAGTTCCCCTAAATAGGGAAGAGACCCCAGTATACTATAATCCTTATTATGGGGACCCCCAGAAAGGTACCCCTAATTTGGTAAAGCCCCAAATCTTTGAGACCTCCAAACCCAGAACTACAAACCCTGTGCAGCTTATGGAACCATGAAACTTAACAGGGTTTAGGGGATTTATATTTAGGGTTTAGGGGTTATAGGTTTAGGGTTTAGGGGGTCTAGGTTTAGGGTTTAGGGGTTGTAGTTTTAGGTTGGGTACTGCCCCCCCACAGTAACAGTCTATACTAAGGGTCCTATTAAGGGCTATATATATATCCAAATTATAAGTATTATCCAACTACTAGTGAGGGGGGGCAGTACCCAAGAGCGAACCCTTAACCCCAAACTCCAGAAGGTTCACAAACCCTAAAGGCCCACACTAACAGCCCTTTTTTTCAAAAAAACAACCCCCCCCCAAGGCCCCACACGAATATCTCTTTTTGAAACATTGCTCATTGATGTTCAAGCCGCCCCAGCACCTGATGGAAGGCCTTTGCCGCAGCGGGTACGCCTCGCAGTCGCAGCTCGACCACCACGCCGATGGCCTCGCACATGCCGTGGGAGAGTTTTAGGGTAAAAACTGAATTTAAGGGTAGTTAGGGTTTAGGCTTTAGG